TGGCATGACTCTCTTCCGGTTGAAAAAAGCAAGTGGTGGACCAATGGGAACAGGCCAAAAGGAGCCAACAGGAGCCAGCAGGCTGTCAAGACGCCTCAAACTTGTACTTCATGCGGGTGAGATCAGCATCTTCGATCTCCAGCGCCCTGATCAAATGCTCTTTGGCGGTCTTCACCAGGCCATACTCCTTTTGAAGACCTGGCTTGTGCACAGGTCTGCACAAGAGCCTTTGCTAGATGGAAGCTAAGCATAGTTAAACCAGAAACAATGCATGGTTGAAAGGCAACAGAATCCAGAAGGACAATAGCTTGAGAAGCCCAACAAAGAAATGACTCTAGGATTCCGGCAGTCAAAACGGGCACGAGCTTCATTGGTTTCATCCCCCACTGCAATGCCCTGAGATAGATCTTGCAACATCACGGGATCAGGAAGATGTTCATAACAGCCTGAACAAACGCCGCAACGCTCTGCAACGCTCTGCAACCGTTGCAGGGTGCTTTTTCCCGTGATGACTGGGTTGTTCGACCGAGGTGCATCGCAAAAAGGAGTGTAAAAAGTCCTGCCATTTGCAACTAATGATCACCTGACGATCAGTGAAGTCACGCTCCCCATCGCTGCTGCAAAGGAAGGAAGATTTCACCTGTCGCAAACGCAGAGGCCGGAAGATTTTGCAAGTTGGTTTGTTGTTTTCAAACAAGTGATTTGGGAAGTCTTTGCCTCAAGATATGGAGACAGAGAGTCCACATCGAAGAAGCGTTCAATCAACTTTTCACCACTGTTTCGAAGGCTTGCTTCCGCTGTTCCAACCATCTCTTTGTACTTCTGCATGATAGCTTGCAAATAGTTCTTGTAATGGCAAAGCTGAATGATGGGTCCCTCCTGCCAAAAAGAAACAGTAGTCTTCAGAACTTGAGGTCGCTTTTGATTGGAGTTCTGCTTTTCTGATCTATATACTCTCTTCGGCCATCAAAAAAGAAGCATAGCTCTTAAGAAAAGTTCCACTCCTGGAGCCTCTCTTGGATGTTCCACTTGCTTTTGCATCCTTTTGATGGATACAACCGCAGGGAGGCCGTGGAGATGTTGAAGTCGCAAGGGCCGTCTTTACAGACTTTAGATTCAAAGCTCAGGATATGGCCCACTTCGTCTCCCATACCTCAGCATCTCTAGGTCAAGAGTCACGAGTCAAAAAACTTCTTCGGCATTACTATGCAGTGATCGGGTGTGCAGTGGCTCGCTACACATGTCCGGACCCACGTGCAAAAGTCAAGCTGCTCTTTTGCCTTTGCAAGACATCATTCAAAAGAGCAGTCAGCTGGTCCTGACATCGAAGAAAGACTGTCGATTGGATCCGTCGACCTCTCCAAAAATCCCCCCAGTAGCACTCATGTTGGGCTTAAGAAGGCGACCCCACTCTGAAAAACCCAGCTGAACAGTCCTTCTTCTTCTGGAGCACCTTTTTGAACGCATGTCCCGAACACTTCTGCCCAACAGCAAAGTCGGCCAATATCTGGCGCACCTCGCTGAGGGGGCTCGTCGCATCGTCCGTCCACACTTGTAAGACTTGCTTTTTGGTTTTTCAGTCTACTGCTCAAAGCGACAAGAGTCGTACAAGTAGTTGTAGATATATATCTCAATTAAGACTTGTAACCTAAGAGCTTTCTTGCTGGACTCCAATGCAAGGCGCAAAACCAGCCAGTTTCCACCAAACACAATCTATCGCAATCCATCCAAGCCTGATCTGGCACCCGCTTGTGCAAGACATCTTGCACAAAGCGGTTGTACATCCCCTTGGTCACATCGGAATTGGGGCCAAGTCGGCGCTGCACTTCCTGCGCGGATTTGCTTCGCTGTGTCGGCGCCGACACTTCACTGTGTGGACCTTCCGGCCCAGCGACAGAACAAAATTGTTAGACGAACATCCGGGAGGACCGTGTTCCCCAAATTGACCTCGGCCCCTCCCTGTTCAACATCACCATAGGAACTGAAATAGAAGTTGCTCCTCTTCTGCCAGTTGTTGTCGTCGATCCAAGTCCTTCAGGACACGACGGATACATCTGGATGATGCGACTTGCGCCCGAGGGGAGTCTATGTTTCACGCGATGCAGTTTATCATGGTTGCCAGCTCTTTTTAACGCTCAAAATTCAAAATGCAGTTGATGGACGGTGTTTGTCGGACACCGGTCCTCAACAACTCCCAGCATCTTGATATCAAACTCCACTATGGCCTCTTTCTCAAAGGTCTTGGCCATAGCCAGCTCCTGCACAGATTCACAGAATCTCATTCATGGACGTGACGCAACAGGTTTGGTCCTTCCAGTTCTGCTTAAGGTTCAAGCAATAGCCATTCTCCAAGCGTGCCACCAACTGAGCAATCCCAGCACACTGACCCGCCAAAAGGCGTGGGAAATGGCGCTGCTGGTCAGGGACTTTGGGAGATGAAAACCACTCTTCTTCCTGTCAGGTCGACGGTGTCTCATGGCAATCTCGGACGATCATCCAGCACTCCCCGCCTGCTTGAGTTGCCAATTCAAACGCTCGTAGTTGTGGTGCTTGAAATACCCTTCATGTGGCGGCCTCGTCTGGGATTGAATCACAGGCACTGTAAAACGTTGTTTTGTATTCTCTTCGAATCAGTTGTGTCTGGTATTGTCCGGATCTATGATCTATCTACCTCAAACATCGCCATTTGGCCAGGCGGCTTCTGCATGGTGACCACCCATCCATTCGACAATCGGGCAGCACCAAGTGATTCAGGTGAAGATCCATCCTGCCACGCGACTGTATGAGAGCTCGACATGTCAATCAAACCACGACGCTCTACGAGTTAGAAATGTCCGGCTAGACCCAAAGAATGAGAAACACAACGTGAAATGGAACAAGCGTGAAACTGTCGCTCCTGCTCTGCAGGCTCATCGAGGGTCACCGCCCGCAGGAAGTCTGCATCGCTGTTCTGGTCGCATTTGGAGAAGACACCAAACGTTCGATCCTGCAGCCAAGTTAATCAGAAACACTCCGAAATGGTACAAAAGCTGTCGTCTGCAGTCTGTTTGCTTCTACGTATGTGTGAAGTCCTGAAGCCCTTTCTCTTCAATAAACTTCCAAGCATTATGGTTGGTAGGCACGAAGTCACCTGCCGCCGGCACAATCGCCAAATACATATTGTGATTCCCATTCCGCCGATCGTCTTCAAGCTGTTGCTCATAGATCCTGTTGATTTGCGCAGCCTGGCACCAAACACTGAGACATCTTCCAAAGTCCAGCAACTACAGAATCATCCAGAAGCCACAAACCTTAACGCACAATTGGAGCCGTTTTCCGACTTTCAATGAAACGACTTTTCCCTTCCGGGCACCCACCTTCTCTGGTGGTGAGGTCGTCAGTCCAGGCAAATCGACCAAGTCAAGGCAGGGCACATCGGATCGGCGCACTTCCACCACGATGATCTTCTCCGAAACAATCCCAGACTCTTTAGTCAGCTCCTCAGTCGGCTCCCAAAAACATCTTTAGCTTAAGAACAAAACCATAATATCTGATGGCAAGAAGAAAACGTCGTAGCAAAGACTGAAATTGACACGTGTGCATTGAATCGAACCATACAGCGGCTCCTTCCGCAATCTGGTCATTTGCTCCTGCCAAAATATGTTGCACATCAAAGATCTCCAAGGATTGATTTGGTTGGTTTCAAAACACCATCAACTCACTCACAGGCCACCCCGCTCCTGTACCATTAGCCATCCATTCTCCTGTGGCATATCCATGCAAACCACCTCTCCAGCCTCACCAGTCTCCTGTCCATCCGCCGGCAAGACCCTCAAGGTGGCTCTGCTCATGCCCGGATGCCGCCGGAGCCGCAAATGGATGGCCAGCAGCGTGCTGCAACTGCGCCTCCGTGGAAAGACCGGGATCATTGCCAACATCTCCAAGATCGTCGATTTCCCAGCGTTCTCCTCACTTTGCGGAACACGGCAACGCACAAAAAGCGTCGAATAGCCAAAGGTGTGACAATAAGTCTGATACAAGAAAGTTCCACAGCCTGCGGAGGACATATAATTAGTGTGATAAATAGTTGCGATGGCGACAACTACTAGCTGTTGATTTGATCCTCAAAGTGCAAACGCTCTGATCACGCAAAGAATCGTCTCCCACCACCACGATTTTGGGTGGCTTCAGGCCATTCAACATGTTGTGGAGCAAGTCTTCAACAGGGTCAACTTCTTTGAAGAATCGGCTCAATGCTTGGCACATCTGAGTAGGTTGGGAGTTCACCACTGAGACATCCTCAAGTGACAAGGTGACCTTTCGCTCCGTCTCGGGCATCATGCCATGCGATGGCCATGTCAGAGACAAAGAGGAACCAGCCTTTGACATCGTCTCAGCGAAATCAGTGAACTGCTGAATCACCTCTTGCAGAGCTTTGTTGGGCTTCAACTCCGTTCCGATCTCACTTTGCGACTGTGGCGACTTGGTGGAGCGCTGAAACCATTCTTGAATGGCCTCCCGTTCGTAGTTAAAGCCGTCCTCCGCAGTGACAGGATCCTTCATGATGAGCCCTCGAATGGGGCAAAGCCAGTCCGTTGCCTGCACAAAATCAGCGGGTGAGCATCAAATCCGTGGTCAAATCCATGAGAAAACCTCTAATGAACTAGCCGACCAGTCACCATGACCATAACCGTTTAACCTGTCACAGGCGGTGGGTTCTCTGCTGTGGCCACACGCACAGCCCTGAATGGCCTGTGGGAACTTCTTTGCCACCTGAGGGAAGATCTCATCTCGTTTCAAATGGAAGCAAGACGCCATGATCGCAGAATCTTTGGGTTGAGCAAAATGCTGCAGCATCGGGGATAAAAATAGCGACCAAAAGCTTGAATCCTCAGAAAGCTGATTTGGAACAAAAGGATGTTCAAAGCTCAAAGCTGTGGACTTTCAAAGAGCACTCTCTTAACGTTGGGGTAACCGGGGTGAGGAGCAAAAGCTCGTCTGCTTTTCTGCTTCCTGAGCCTGTTCAAGCTAGTTCTAGGGCCTTCGTAACCCTAATGCATTCTCAAGCACTTGGTGCCCCTTGCCTCCAAGCGGGCTTTGCTGTATAAAATAAATTCGGGCTGCTGCTGCCTTACCCTGTGCTTCCAAATACTTTCAATCACCATATCTGGAAGCACCGGGGTGCTTCTGAAGCAGCTTGAAAGCCTTCCTGACAGTTGGCACATATCAAATCCTAAGGCTGGTTTCAAGTAAGGTCCAAACCGCATCTCGCTTCGGACTAGATTTGTGCCAAGAGTCTGGGATCAAAATCATCATTCATTCTGTAACAAATCAGCAAGTGAAAGAACTTCGGCCCATCTCACGCCATCGCCGTTTGCATTCCAAAGACTCGTTGCAGGTTGGCCAGACGCTGCCGAGGGACGGAGAGGTGCTCCACCTGTGGCCCCAAAGCTTCGCCAGAAGTACCGCTTCACCCAAAAAAAACAATCCCTCAACGTGAAATCATATCATTAAGATCAGGCCCAAACTAAAGGCCCCGCTCGCCAGACCCAAAAACAAAGAAAACATCCCAACGAACCTCCCTTTCTGCGTACTCGGAGGCGGCGAAGGACGCCAAGCTCTTGGGCGTGTCCACCGTCGCCTCCGCCTCCGCCGGAGGCACTTGCTGCGGAGGATCCGCGACTCGCGCGCGTCGTGGCAGACGCGTGAGGGCCATGGTGATCACGGCGAAGAACATCAAGGAGGCACCCAGCAGAGTCAGGGCCTTTGGCACCTCAGAGATCGCTTTGGGAAGCCCAGAAAAAAAGAACATTCGTTGGAAGCTAAAGATAAATATCTTTTGTAATAGCGATGAACATGGGATGAAGTCGCCCCAGCTCATATCATGACTATGTAGGGTAGGAAAAATGCAACTGTCATGCCACAAGGCTGGAAATAATGCATTTCCAGCTTTCGGGTTGGAAGTGCCAAGATTGGCCATGGCAGTGATGCTTTCAGTGTCAGCCACTTTCCTCTGAAGTGTGGGTTTTTGCGTTAGATGGATCAACACATGACACATGAACCACCAACATCAAAATCTTCTCACTATCTCCATCTCCCTATTGTTCAGATCTTGTTTTGTGGCACCTTGTGAAAGACAAAGACGTCAAGCAAAAAGCCGCTAGCCATTTGAGTTCCCGTAATGAGCGTGGAGCTCAACGCAGCAGGGCAAAGCTTGGCTGCCATACTTTGCGCCAGGTTCGACACAAACAGAAGGAAGATGCAGGATGCCAAGAAGACAAGGGTCTTCCTCAACATCTCAAACGCTCGGAATCTCGAAGACGGCTTCACTCAGCGATATAAGTTCACATATATACATGTTTAGGACAGTGAGTAGACTGGAAACTATGCGCCTTAAATTATTCAAATCCTATGAATGTACAAGTCCCTTGCAACTCTTCAAGACATGGCCCATCTCTTCGGGTTTCAAATGAAAAAGCTTTGCTTTCTATTTGCCAGGTCTTCTCAGGCGAGCTCCACAGGAGTTCAAAATGACCATCTGGTACCACAGGAAGAATGGCCAAGGCCTCAGATCATTTGACCAAATCCCCGAAGAATGCCAAACAGCTGAAAAAACATCAAACTAAGACACCCTCCCAATATACAGTAACCTTCCTGCACCAATAATCGTTCTTGGCATCAATGCCATGATGAAAACACCTCGAACACATTTGGCTCTTCCAAAGGAGGCGTTCCAAGGAGCCCAGCAAACCACCCAGCGCTGCACCATCGCGGAGGCCGTCAGCATGGTGGAGGACGCGGAGCCCGACTTCCGAGAGCTGATGAACATACAGCCCAGGCAAACGCCCGCCGACAGCGCCAAGGCGTTCCCCAGCATGGCCGTGGAGTCTAAGTTGATCACCTCTGGAAGGAGAAGAATGAAACGACTGGGTTCTTAAACAAGTCTTAGCTTGACCCGGGTCTCAGCTCCAATCAATGGTTGAGATTTGAAGAGCAAGTGGTGCTCAAAAGGGATGACAAACCACAGACTGCTGCAAATGACTTTACTGAGTGAAGTTTCAACATCTCGCTTGTTCACTGACCATTCCACATCATGCTTGAAGGTTTGCCATGACCATCCCCTATCCCTGCAAGCATGACTGCATCGCCATCAAAAACTCATCTTCGCTCTCTTCCCCCCCTCTCTCCCCCCCCTCTCTCTCTTCCTCTCCCTCTCTCTCTCTCTCTCTCTGTACTTTCTCTGCTCATCTCACCTGATCCAGATCTGAGATCAATATGGCACCTGCCAAAGAGAAGAAGACTGCCAGGATGTGCAACTTCCCCAGTGCCTCTCCAAGGACTAATCGCCCCAGCAAGGCGGCCACCACGGTGTTCACGCTTAACAAGGCCCCCACCGAGCCGATATGCGCGCCCGCGAGTATGGCTGAAACGCTCAGCACGTTGTTGGCGCAGCCAAAAAGACCACGCAGAATGACCCACTTCACCTGGCAGGGTGTGAAGCCCAAGAGCTTCGACGAAGCCTCCAAGGAAAGGAACGTTGCTAGCATGAGATTGAAGGAGGAAGAAGGACAATGCGCACGCAAAGGGCCAAAACGATTGACAAAAACGAAGGGTAAAAGAACTCCCAAAAAAGATATACGGTAGGTGGCCACCGCTTTGTTACCTGGTCCCCACCTCACGGCGCTGTAGGTGATAGGAGTCCTGGCAAATCATGAACACAACCAAGCCTGCGGCCACACAGAGAGCTGCAGAGCCGGCTACAAAGAAGAAGGGCCATCCGTCACCTTGCATGATCTTGCTGAGCACCTCACGTCAAGGGCCAACAACGTCTTTGACTCTTTGTGAGACAAGTCTGAAAGTTCCAAAAGCCTGGGCTCACCTTGGTGATGACTTTGTCAAGATCCAATGTCTCTTGTTGGAGGACTCAGCTTTAGCTTTCATCCCCTCAAACACTTCCCTGCTCAACACGTTCCCACCCACACATCCCCTCAAAACACTCACATCCAAGGCACCAAGAAAAGGTTCGTAAAGACAGCACACAGCATTGCCGCCCACACACCTCGACCTTCCGTCGGGAAGGTCATGTACGTCACGCGAACTCGGCAGGTCTGATCGGAGCGGTTGAGCGTTCAACAGCTGCGTCCAACGGGTGCAGTATCAGTGCAGTTCATGCCAGATAGCTTACATCGGAAACCACCCATGATACGAGGTTGAAATACAGCAGTTCGATGAGCAAATCAATATATTGAACCAATCATCAAAAAAATGTCAACAACCAATGTAAGAACTTTGCTCGACTTCCGGACCATGCCATGTAAAAGCTGTCATTTTCTCAGCGCACTGCAACCCCCAACAGTGCTCCCCAGCCCCCAGCAGAACCCGCAAATGACTACGCTCATACACGACGTTGCGTGCTAAAATACTGCAGTCTTCCAGCACTACCTGCTTTGATACTGCCTCAGAATCAGAGCAACTTCATCACTCGTCAATCTTTGGGGCAAGGTAGAACTGCATGTGGCCCTTGTCTGCAGTCTCCAAGTCATACTTCACAAGCAGGGGAGCATCAGGACTAAGACCCAGTTCAACAGAACCACAAAGCTTCTCTGCCTGTGTGCTCCAAGCAGAGTCCAAGTCCATGCAATCATTTCCCAAATGTTTCCTAGATAAGTGATTGTAACACCTTTTGCTACAAGTATACTCTGCCGGTAGTAGCCTGCACCTATTTGACAAGAATCGGTCAAAGTCACTAAACACAAACTGCTTGTTTCAATTCTGCAGGCCTTCGCAAAATTCACCAAATAGCGAAGCGCAAATGTGGCAGTAACTGGTTCATGGACTGTGAGTGATACCTTCTCCTCGGGCTTCTCTCCCTCACGAGGCTTCAACATCACATTGCCGCTGCCCAGATCACCCTGCACCATGAATTTCAACCCTTCTTTGCTGCCACTGATCTGAATGGTCTCGCCAAACTCCTTCAGGTCACGGCAAACCTTCTGAAATTCAGAAGAAGGCAACTTCGCGACAACCTTGTAGTGCTGCTCCGGGATTTCCATGTGTTCACTCTCGATTTGCATCAGCTTCAAATCAAAGTCGGCAATGCGATCATCTGAGCCTTCACACTGGAAGTTCACTGTGTCGGCATCTGTCTGGTGTCGAATCTTCAACGAGTCAGTTGCACCTGTCATTTTCATGATCTTGGTCAACGAGTCAATGTTCATGCCAAGCGAAACTGGACGATCACACTTGAACCTTGGGACCGAGTTCGCAAAGAATCCAGTGGTGGATCAAAGCATGTTCCACTGTTTGAGTGAGTGGATGTGTGTGTAATATTATATATATTATATTATATTGTATTATATTATCTATATTACATTAGATTACATTACAGTAAATTATATTGTATTGAATTATATTGGTATGATATGATATGATATGATATGATATAATATAATACAATACAATATATAGTAAAGCTGCAACTTCAACATACTTATATATATATGTACTGTCTGGCAAGATTTCCCTTGAGATTGGGGTTCAATTTGACAGGAATCCAGAAAGACAAACGAGAAAGGAGTACAATGTGCTCAAATGTTGCTTGAGAGCTCAGCAAAGGCAGACTCTCTCAGCAGCACAGAGACCAATGCTACATGCGAGCTGTCCATGCATTGCACCTCAATGCCCTTCTCGGAGCAGTCGAAATGCACGTCCTTGCACCTTATTCCATGCAAAACAGCCAGAACAGGACAAGCAAATTAATGTAGGGACGCTTGCAGAACATGCATACAAAGGGAGAACCTACATCAAAGGATCATTAGAAATGATCAACCCCATCACTATCCTCAACTGCTAGCTTAAAGAAGGTGTGCGCGATTGTTCCAAGAAACAAATCCTTCATGGACTCGGCGACCTTCTTCAAAAGGGATGCATGCTGCAAGTGTGCCTCAAGGCCCATTGTGTCAAAGAAGAAAGGAACGGGAACGAAGGACAAGGTGTTGCAAGGGCGTTTGCACTGCTTGAGCCACAAAAGCAATGACAATCAGCGGGGTTTGTCGATTTACTTCCTTCCAAAAGCAACTTACTGACTCAAACGCCGCAAAGAAGATGCACGAGTTTGCAAGGACTTGTTCAACTGTCGTGCGATGCAAAAACTGTCATTTATACATATATATATATATAGATGTATTCTCAGTGTAATGCAACCCCCAACAGTGCTCCCCAACCCGCAGCAAAACCCGGAAATGACTACGCGACGTTCAAAATATACACTGATACCAGTGATGCGTGCTAACATGTTGCAATCTTTCAGCTGCGCCATGCATGCTCTGATAGTGCCTCAGAATCAGAGCAACCGAGTGGAACCCAGTAGAAACGGTTGCCAAAGATTCGGGTTGGGATATAACATCACAAGATTTGAACCAAAAACTGACATCAACTGAAAACATGTCCTTTCGACCATTGATGTAGCGGATGAAACCGTGTTGAAATTATTTTGGGACGACCCACGACTTGAAACCTAGAGTTTTGTTAGTTACTGTCAGTTAGTTGAAAACTCTCAACCACGACTATTGAAGTAGTAACCACTCACGACTGGGTTGCCATTGTTTGGCTAGCTGCAAGGGTGGCACAAATGTTCACTTTTGGAAGACATGCCCATGGACATGCGACGTTGATGCCAAAATGCAAAAGCACAAGTATGTATGGACCCAAATAGGTATAAAAAGATGGAACCCACAAACCCGAACGCAAACACGTACTTCAAGACCAACGCCCAAACATTTTTTGACAGTTTTGTAGGAGACGCTCCTGTAGAACGCTCTTGTGGGACACTCTCGTGCGACACTTTCGTCACTCTGCGAGACACTCTTGCAGGACACTTTTGCAGGACACTTTTGTGGACTCTTGTGCAACACTCTTGCGGAACACTCTTGTGGGACACTCACGTACGACACTCACGTACGCAGATGTAATTTAGCCACATAAGTTGACAGTTCTGACGCCACAGCTCCCAGAAATTGTTTCCCGCACTACATTTGCACTACGAAACTGCCAGCTACAGCTCCCAGAAGCTGCTTGCCGCACTACAGCACTCAGCCAATCTTGTACAAAGATGGCACAAGAACCATACTAGGATCTTCTTTTGGTAAAGCCAAAATAGGAGCGCAAAAAGCATTGCGTGACCTTGAGCAACAAGGCTGGGAAACGCTGCCCTTGGCCATCTTGGGCATGCCAAACCTTCCACCGGCTTGGAGTGCTGATAATTGGAAACCAATAGGGGGGTGTAAGTTCACGGGATACTGCCCCGGTATAGTAGGTAACAGTGCCTTGCGCTTTTGTTTGTTGCTGAGGTGGCGAGCCGTCCACAGGCCAGCGTCAGAGCTCTTCCCAGAGAACGTGCAGGGTGACAGCCTTAGCTGTTGTCCAGCCGATGGAGACAATGAAGACTTGGAGTCAGCTGACACTCCTTCGTCTAATAATTCGGAAAATAGAGCAACACACCTCACCCAAGCTGTTACGTCAGCCCCAAGAGGGAGCGCCAAAGAAGTCCAATCAAGCAAGCCGACTGCCAGCCCGCAGCTCCTGTCTCCCCCTCTGTTCGTGCCGTGGAATCAGGTAGCCAATGCGCGTGGCGTGACAGCTGTGCATAAGGACAGTGAGGCTTGCCCGTACGAGGAGCTCCGTGCAGCTTTGGCCCAGCCCAACTGCTTGTTTTCTGGGGAGAAAGAACTCTTCCTCGCTGATAATGCTGACCTCTTGGAACAACTCAAAGACCAGATTATGCCCTTGGAGCAAATCGCCACAGAAGTGTTTCAAGCCATATACCAACGGCAACAAGCCAAATTTTCCTGGAATACTCTCCTATGGACAGTAGCTCAACAGAATGCATACTGGATAGGATACGATGCTCTGCCGCTCCCGCAAGTACTGCAAATCAATTGTGGTGGCCTAGGGAGGGGTGCCTTGGAGGGCAGCATCCCCCCGCACTTTCATTGCGTCGGAGAGAGTCAGGTTTATGGCCCATCACTCACGCCAGCCGATATAGTGCAGCAAGAGCATGTTGAAGTTGCAGCAGGATGCACGACTGGCATTCATGAGGTCGCTACTCTCTTTTCGCACATACAGGATCCCTGTCGCAAATGGGAAGAATTAGGCCTTGGAAAGGCGGCCGTATTGTACCGAAGAACACAAAGAGTACTGAAGGCCGCTCGCCTCCTCCCAGCGCACAGACGACTCCCACACAAGGCCTTTCTCAGTGGACTCTGGTGGAAATTGCTTTCCCTGCAACCTTTGCAGTTACTTGCTTGTCTGCCGATGCTTGGCTGTCTTCGGGAAGTGACACAACCGGTTCCAGTTCATTTCGCAGTTAATGGCTTTAGTGCAGGAAGCTATACCGGAGCAGTGATTGCCTTAGCAATTCGTTGCCTATGGCCGCAATGTCAGGTCACAGCGAGGTTGGGGACCATTGCCATGCCCAAGGGAGTTCTGGCTGCTCTGATAGCCACTGCTGACCCGGATAAACATCACTACTACCTGGTTCATGCAGCTGAGGACTGCCTCTGCGATTGGAAGCCAGATGAAAAGGAGCTCAAGATGCTGCAACAAGCCCTCCACATCACCTACGTGGAAGAATCGGCACGCTGGATGGGTAGTAGCAAACACAACTATTGGCACTGGCTACTGTCAGCTCCCGCAAGGGCAAGTCAGACTCACTGATCTTAAACTTTCTCACCCAGAGGTCATCCCCAACCGGGACAGGATTGCTGCGCCCATGCGACTGGCCTCATGGATTCGTTTCGAAACCCTCATGGCAAGTGCTGATTGGGAGGGAGCAATTAGCATGCTAGTATCAAATCTTCACCAACCAGATCAGGAACTCCTCCGTCTCCTCCAGTTGTGCGTCGCAGGGCAAGAAATTGCGTCTATGGAGGAAGCGCAGTCGCTCCTGCTACGAAACTTCAGAGTAGGCAAGGACAACCAGAGTGAATGTGCACAATGGCTAACTGACATGGCCAAGGACCTGCTGGCGCCCATACCGTTTAGAGAAGGCCCTTGGCCCTTTTCCTCCCGCAACTCACGTTCCTGGATGGAGCGCGCACACAGCAAAGCCTATGCGCCAGCCCTGAGGTAAAGCAGCGCG